CTGTTTAAATTATATATTGCAGGTGTCGTGTATGACCTCATTTTTGAAATGTTACAATGAAAGATAATCTACCAGGCTGTTGCTCTTAGACTAGTAGTGCTAGCCAGTGTATATTTCTTGTATGAATAAGCAAGGATTTGACGGTGGCCTTTTCCTGAAGTATAAACTGATTTCTTGTTATTTAGCAATATCTGCGTTATGTGGGTCGATCTAACATTGCAAACGCCAATCGAGACTGCTTCACTTTGGCCATCGGAGCATCTCCAAACGCGGACCTACTACTTGGAATGAGTTTCCTCGAGGGCTTCGAAGTACTCTTCAACAGACAAGACAAGAAGGTCAGCTAACACCTTTTACCTTACAGCTTGAAAAAAGAATGTTCTTTAATCGATACAATCAAAGAGGTCGCATAATACTCAGTTATTCTAATTGGAACAAAATGTTTCTGTCATAAACAATCTTGGAGCTCATCTAATCATGATAATTTGTATTTATATCAGCGTTTTTCAGTTATTCCGTTCGTTGACGCGTAGAAAGTTTTGCGTCCGCAGATAAAAAGAACCTATTGACTTCTGTCTGAGTAATAGAGGCTCATAGTGCTGATCATACCAAGGCAACTAAAGGCGTTTTAACCAAGATACAATGCTTGAGTGTGTCACTTTTAAAGCAAACATAATTTAAAAAGAAAACAGCGGCTGCTGCTTAAGAAAATCACAGCACGCTTCGATTTCCAACTGACCAAAAGTAGGCCCTCGTACGCATTTTGTATACATATTGTTCTAAAGAAGCACTCGTAACCTTTAGTTAAATGCCTTCATACGTAAATGTCGGGCCAGTACCTTCAGATGTTCACGGTACTACTGGGTCAATTCTTATGTCATTCGTAGAGATCGTTCGTTATTTTCGCCGGATTAAACCTAGATCCTCAACGCCTGAGGGAGTTTGCTCTGACAAGGAGAGTTATTTGAATAGCCCACCTTAAATTTTCAGCAAAAATGCCCACTACTCTTTCAATTTAAGTGTACTTTTTATCGAAAATGTCCGATTCCGCTTTAAATACAAAGGTCCAACCTCCCTAACGTTTAATTTTGAGTTTTTTTAAAAAAGTTCGTGACTTCAAAAATTCTTTCATTTCACACAAACCATAGCTACTGATTGATAAATAGACCATGAAGAAATCGAGGCTAAAGTGAAGTTTTTTTTGCTAAAGGAATGCACATTAAAGGAAATAACTGAAAGGTCTGGCAAAAATGGGATACATGAAAGTGTACTTTTCGTTTTTATACTTACTTCAACAGTAGTCCCCTGTTCTGCTGCCTTAATGTTCTTGCAGACTGTAAGCAGTACTTCAGAACAAGTAATGCAAATTTAAAATGATCTTAATTCAGCCTAGCATAATTATTCCTTTCTTTATTCCCCAAGGTTGGTTTCCGCACCTCCGATTGCGTCTCATACACTCAGTACCCCAATCTTCCAAATTCCCGTGTGGTGGGAGTTTATCAGTGGAATTCAGCGGGTGACAAGTCCTCACCGCCGGAACAGTGTTCACCACTGCTTATCAGCAAACAAAATGTGGCAAAGCTAGACGCCTTGGGAATCATTTTAATAGTTTTCAGCGTCTTTGTTTTTCTAATCCTTTGTGGTGCACTCGCCTTCTTCCTTCATTGGCGAAGAAACAAAGGGCTCCGCGTCGCCGCGAACGCCGATGGCGATAAGAGCGAAATTGAAATTTAGGGAACCTTTTCTGCGTTTAAACCTGGAACACCAGGTAGACAGATGCCACCTGCTCGGAGAAAATGCCCATTCGTGACCTTATGAGCCCCCTTCTTCCCACCTGTTCCCTGCCCCTTCCACATTCCAAAAAGACAATGAACCTAGATGCTACGGATCTTGACCTTTACGCTTCCTTACGCAATCGATGCTGCATACAAAGATTTATCATCAAATCAGAAAACATAAAATTGGTTTGAATCAAAGATATTCACTGATGAAAAAATAACTGTCTTCTCAGCTTCACTTGGGTGTACTCCAAACAGGTATAAATGACCTCGGAAATAGGTATTCCTTTGCGAATTCTCCGAATATTGAAAATTCATATTAGCAAACGCAAGTCTTTAGCAATTCTTCATCAGCGTGTGTTAAAAAGGTGGCTTATAAGCAATGTTTAAATGAAAAGAGAGATCTTCGGAAAATCGAGTTGTACTCGTGAATTTTCGAACAGGTAGCACTTGTTCGTCGTCAGACTAAATAAAAACAGAGGGCTGGGAATGTCGCATTAGAGGTTTTGGGGGCAGAGGTTACAACGAACGGGGTATGATTGGGCAGGAGGGTTATGGTGACGTGACTCCTGCGGCGATAGATTGTACTGGAGAAGGGAGGGAGGTTTTAACGTTTACATTGTAGGCCACGTGTTCGGGGAGGGGGGGGGTCAGAGTCAGGGAAATTCTACTCGACCGAGCACGGACAACCTGCTCTTGTTTCAGGCTAAGCGCAGGTTGGTGAACCATGCGCGAAAACCGGCAGAGTGTGAATCACGCTCTGCGTGTTTGTTAATACTAGCGGGGCTCGAGTGCCAAGCTTCGATTTATTCTCTAACTTGCTTCTTGTTAGCCACGGCGATCACCTCGGTGCCATCCAAATTGAATCGGTGATCACACTCAAGGGAGTGCGCAAATATGAGTGATAAAGTGTCCAGTCGGAGAACGGCTAACTTATGTTCCTTGATGCGAGTCTCAAGACCTCGGCCTGTTTGGCTAATATAAATACAAGGGCAACCAGCGCACGGTATGCGGTGAATGACGTTACTTAGTTGTAATACAGGTTGGGGGTCCTTTACTCGACATAGGC